CATCCGAACCACAACTGCCTGAAAAAGTCAAGTATCCAAACTGCATTTGACCTTTGAATGACAAAAATATTGCAAGTAGTAATTTAAAGGCTCATCTCCTTCCGCTGACCTCCGTCCTCCTGCCTGTGACCCAGAAACTGATCTTATTTCCTAAAATCCATCTCGGGGAGAGAACAAACATGTTGGAGGAGCTATGAGTGAAGAATCGTGTGCATCCTCACTGAAGTTTATTTTACACCTGTGTGTATAAAAAGCACACTTGGAATATACGAGTTAAGCAAGAGGCTGGACGGACAAATTATAACACAAGTCAGTTTTTATTTGTGTTATTGTCGTGTGTGTAGCAGTTGCATGATTTTTTAAAAAAAAGTGCATTCTTGTCACTTTATGCCACACTGTGAATTAAGTTCTATGTATATAAACATATACAGTAAATCCATCATGAACACTGTTGTGCTCTTCTGACAGCGATCTTAAAATACTGTGATCAGCATAATGAAACAACACACAGACGATGCCGGTGTGACACTCGTCGTCTTTATTTGACGTATTAAAATGACAACTCTGAGGTGAATATGGCCCATTTTATGAAACGCTTGTTGCCTCGACTGCTCTCTCCTCGTGTCTTCTTTGTTCGCATCTCAGGTAGAAGGGACCAGGACATGAGGAGAGGAGGCGAGGAAGGTATCGAGGATGTACAAACTGGAAAACAGTGTATCTAACTGATTTTGCTGTTCATGAATGCAGTGTTGGGAAGGCTGGTAGTTACAGATTACTGGGCACCCTTTAAAAAAATGTAATAAGCAATGTTACTATTTTAGTTACCTAATCAAAGCCATACAACTCATCACATTTGATTCCTCTTCTAACAAAGGATTTAAACTGGACAATAAAGCTGGAAATATACATCTAAAGCAGCTGCACTGTAATGTCAGAGACCTTTTCTGGTTTGTGAAGGAAAATATCGAATATAAAAGGAGCATGTCTAGACATTGAGACATCTTAACCCTTGACGGTGTCGCACTCTGAATTTGTTCTAATAGCTTTAGAAGTGACCCACATTACGCAGAAATATACCAACAAAAAGCCCTTGTGCATTGCGGGGAAAAAAACATCTTTGTAATCGCCAACATTTTCATCGGTAACTGTAATTTATTTACATATTTCTTGTCAGTAACTGATTACATTTATTTTGTAAACGAGCTATGCACTGCCATTACATGTACTAATTACTTGCCAACACTGCATACACAAATTCAGTCATTTTGAGCCAGTTGAGAAGCAACAAAAAAACAGTCTGATGCTTCAATTGTGTTATATACCAACCCAGTCTCGCAGCACAGATTAAATTTTGTGACTATTTTACGAATTGCTGTGAGACTGGGTTACATATAAACACTATACGAGGAACAGGACTTGGAGAATGAAGTGGTAAAAACATTTGAAACAAGTTGTAATTACACAGAACACATTTATTTACTTCCAATTTCATTTTTCAGTACAAAAACATGAAACCGACGTGGCACAATGTTACACAACAACACATGACTCGTTTATGACGTCCGTAAACAGCAAATACTGTAAAAATCTAGACAGTGTTTGTGTGAAGTATTGTGAGCTATAGATTTAATTTAACGTTACATTATCTTTGATTTCGTTTGGCACAGATGAAATCATAACAATCAGCATGATCAGGTGCAACTGCAGTTCACGCCACCAGAGGGTGTGATTTTAACAGAACATCAGTCTTCAATCTGCTTCTTCAGACTTATTAAAAACTCCTTTAAATCAGTCCACAGCATCGGTTCAACCTTGTCAGTACCTGAAAAACGTCCAGCAGCTGTGTGTGATTTCCTATAAGGCAGAACCACATACCTGACTGGTCTTCCTCCGGTGCCCACACACACAGTTTAGCCTGTCTTCAGCATTGTGGGTCCACTGTGGAGGATTGTATCAGGCCATAGTCGGGCTGCTGTGCTGCAGCTTGACCATTTGTGCAGCTATTAGCAGCAGCACTCCCGCGAGGAGCTCCAGGCCGTAGGAGACCCAGGCCAGGCCCAGAGACCAGCCGAAGGCGGTGCGAACGTAGGCCAGGCCCTCCTGCCCCACCAGCCTCTCGGTCTCAGCCAGGGCCTGCTGCGAGTAGATGATGTAGAGGCTCGCACCGCACAGAGTTAACAGACCTGGAGATTGATGCACATCCAGAAAACAGACGTTATGTAAATTCTGGGTCTTTAAACTCAGCTGGATGTTAATATTCATTTGAGGGAATTCAGGGACAAACAAACAAACAGAAAAACAGCTGCTTTATAGATTTAAAATATTCATTTAAGCGTTTTACCCAGTATGTACGGAGTGGAGCTCAGTGCTATTAAGGCCATTTGTTTATGAGATTTATAAAAGCTGATGATCTGCGACTGCAAACTTCTTTGTCACTAATCTTTTAAGAGTGTTCTTTGGGATTAATAAAGTTCAATCGTATCTCATTCATTGAAAAACAATACATACAGTTGAAACCAGAAGTTTACATACGTTGTATAAAAAGACACACAACCTTTTCTTTTCTCACTGTCTGACATTAAATCACTAAACTTTTCCTGTTTTGAGCTCAGTTAGGATTACCAACATTATTTGTATTTGCTAAACACCAGAATAATGAGTGAGAAAATTTTTTAGACATTTTTATTACTTTCTTCAAAGTCAGACATTTACATACATGTCCTTAGTATTTGGTAGCATTGCCTTTAAACGGTATGACTTGGATCAAATGTTTCCTTCCACAAGCTTCTCACAATAGTTTGATGAATTCTTCCCATTCCTCCTGACAGAACTGGTGTAAGCTGCCTTGCTTTGCACACGTTTTCAGTTCTGCCCACAAATGTTCTCCAGGATTGAGATCAGGGCTTTGTGATGGCCACTGTTTGTTGTCCTGAAGCCACTTTGTAACTAATCTGGCGGTATGCTTAGGGTCATTGTCCATCTGAAGACCCATTTACGCCCAAGCTTTAACTTCCTGGCTGATGTATTGAGATGTTGCTTCAATATTTCCACATAATGTTCTTTCCTCATGATGCCATCTATTCTGTGAAGTGCACCAGTCCCTCCTGCAGCAAAACACCCCCACAACATGATGCTGCCACCCCCGTGCTTCACAGTTGGGATGGTGTTCTCAGGCTTACAAGCTTCCCCCTTTTCCCTCCAAATGTAACGATGGTCATTAAGGCCAAATAGTTCAATTTTAGTTTCATCAGACCACAGGACATGTCTCCAACAATTAAAGTCTTTGTCCCTGTGTGCATCTACAAACTGTAATCTAGCTTTTTTTTTGTTTTTGTTGCTTTTAGAATAATGTCTTCTTTCTCTCTATGCATCCTTTTAGTCCATGTTGGTACAGGACTGGTTTTACTGTGGATAATGACTCTCTGACCAGCTTCAGCAGCATCTTTACAAGGTCTGCTTTTGTTCTGGGGTCGATACACACACTGTGCACCAAAACACTTCATCTCTGGGACACAGAACTCGTCTCCTTCCTGAGCGCTATGATGGCTGGACATTCACATGGTGTCCATACTTGTGTATAATTGTTTGAACAGATGAACCTTCAGGCATCTGGAAATTGTACCCAAGGATGAACCTTGTGGAGGTCAACGATTATCCTCCTGATATCTTGGCTGATTTCTTTAGATTTTCCATGTTGTCACAAAAGGAAGCAGTGTGTTTGAGGTGTGCCCTAAAATGCATCCACAGGTGTGCCTCCAATTAACTCAGATGTTGTCAATTAACCTATCAGAAGCTTCCAAAGCCATGACATCATCATCTGGGCTTTCCCAAATAGTTTGAAAGCATAGTAATCTTAGTGTATGTAAACTTCTGACTTTGAAGAAAGTAGTAAAAAATCTATTTAAAAAAAAATCTCTCTTTCATTATTCTGGCATTTAACAAATAGAAAGAATTTTGGTAATCCTAACTGACCTAAATCAGAAAAAGTTTAGTCTCATTAAATCTCAGACAGTGAGAAAAAAAAAAGGTGATATGTCTTTTTATACAGTGTATGTAAACTTCTGGTTTCAGTGCTTAACAAATGTATTAGACCACCTGTCTAATTTGTTAAGCACTGTGTACATTCCAGCATTATGAATTTGATGATTACTTTGAACAAACTGCATTCTCCTTTTTATACCCAAATAATTTGAGTCGGCTCACTGGGCTTCTCCAAGAAGTCAGAAAGTAAGCAAGCAGAACATTCAACCACAAAAACATTTTTTTTCTGTTCAGAAATAACTATAATTTGACATCTTAATCACAAAATAATAATGTGCTTTACTTTTTCTCTCTCTCTTTTTTTTAAGCAGTAAATTTGAAAACTCATGGATAGCAATAATTATTATATTTTAGTATTTAAAACATCATTTCGGTTAAAGGGCTCCTACATACTGGTATATTAACCATTACAGAAACATAAGAAATGATTTTGGTAATTACCAATGCTGTTATTTAGGGCAGCTGTGGCATAAACCTTACGTTACGTCTCATAAATTTGTTAAGCACCATGGATACCGCATCGACATTATAGTTAGATAATAAAGGCCTTTTATTATTCTTTAGGCAGTGTTCCACAGGCTGCAATCATCCAACATCACTCTCACACAAGACACTGTTCGAGTAGATGAGGAGGCTTTAGGTGAAGAGACAGAACAAGTGGCATTATTGCAACAAGAGTTATGTCATATCTGTAGGGAGAGACGCCTGGAATAGTGCTGCAACGTGACTCATATCTCACATGTGTGGAGGGGTAAAGAACATCCCCGTTTGGACGCGCACTGAGCTTTCGTCTGCCTCGGATGTGGTGCCGTTCAGCAGGATTTTACACACAAACACCTGCATCAAAATCTAGCATTAACATATCAGTCAGAGCTCCGTCCTGAGGGTTCATCGATACGAACAACAGCAGCACCAATCCACTCATGACGCGACCCAAAACCCTCATATCGTTAGACACAGGAACTACACTGACGCATGTGTTGTCCTCGTCAGCAGAGAATAGACGGAGACATACACATGGTCCACACATTGTTGCTATTGGAAACCCTTTTAATTTTGACAGCTTGCTATTGGTTTTAAGGGGATGCAAGTGGAGCTACCCAGGGCGGAACTAATAAAGGTTTTATTACAATTACACCCCGAGGTGCTACAAACTAGGAATATGATGAGGAAACTGCATCTGATGTCTCATTTTTATGCACCTCATCGCAAAGAGCACAGGGACATAAAAACAAGAAGAGGCACAGCCGAGAAATGACTGAAATACAGAGGAAGGGCAACGATGAATTAAAATGAGCTTGACAGACAGAGAGCCAATCAGTTTTGATGTCTGATACTTGGCCAAAACAGCAAACATTTACTGGCATTTTATTTCCTGTAAATACTGGCTGCTTGTCAGTGAAGGAAGACAGTATGAAGTCTACTTGTATCCTGTGAAACATTATTAGCCCATCGTGGCCACACATGAGTACTTTCAGACTGTAATATCTCAACTAATAGATTGATTGCCAAGAAACGTTGAACAGACATTAACCAAACACCTTTTATTAATCTCCCGTTTTTCATTTTGCTGCATCTTCAGGTCTAATTTGTCCACTTGTTTGGTTTCTGACTAAATGTCAGGAAAACTAATGGCATGTGACATTTCAAAGTTGTCATACTGATGTTAACATCTGCTCAAATCTCCAACTATGTTCGCCAGTTTATTCACCGATGAGCCACATTATTAAAACCAGAGCTCAACCAGTATGTTTTTTCAGGGCCAATATGGATACAGATTGTTAGTAATAAAGAAGATATTTATATGGTACAGATATGCTTTGGCAGTAAAAATGAAAATCTTGGTGTCAAAATTTACAATAGCACAAATTCCAGCTAAAAATTTTGTTAAAATGCCTTTGTTTATATATATTTTACATGTTTAATGAAAAGACAACATTTTAACATTTATTTTTCTGTGTTGATTGGCTGGTACTCATGATGAGTCACTACAGACAGAAGCAACTACATGGGACCTAAAGTAGCATATTTTTAGATGCATTTACTTTATTGGAAATTGGTTTTATAAAAAATAATGTTATGGATAATTGGAAAAATGCTGAATATCTAATTCAATCATCAGTCAAAATAACAATTGGTCTGTCCTTAATTTAAACCTCCTGCTCTGACCTGTCGCGCCTGTCATGACTCAGCTCACTTAGGAAGTAACATAACAACAACCAGATGGTCTCCGCTGTAACAAAGCTGAACGCATTTCAATGAATAATAGCTTTTTAAGATAACGTAAATCAACACAGGCCGTACAAAAGGAGGAATAGAAGCCTGTGGATGCTTCTAACTAGAACTTATAAACTCGCTTACGTGTCATCTATTAACAACGAAAGACCTCGAAATTACAGTCCTGCGTTGCTGTACCTGCATTCATTAACCAGATCAAAAAGTATGGACGGGAGCACAATCTTCAGATCTGCTGTTTTAACATTTACCTAAATTGTAAACTGTGCTTAAAAAAAAAAACCTTAACCTGACCCAACCTCCAGTCACATGTACGAGGTTCCAGGACTGGTGTCACAAAAGATATAATTCAAATCCAAACTACAAACTACAAGTTTTCCCCTTCCAAGTAATCCCCCTGGAGTCTAACACGCTTCCCCAGCCTTCTCTGCCACGCCACCATGCACTCCTGGAAGGATTCTTCTGGGATCCTCCACAGCTCCGTCGCAGCCAACTTGATGTTGTGAACGTCTTCAAAACGGGTCCCCTTGATGACCCCCTTGAGTTTGGGGAAGAGGAACAAATCCCACGGAGCCAGGTGGGGTGAGTAGGGAGGTTGCTCCAGCACGGTGATGTTCTTCTCAGCCAGGAACTATTGGATGCTCAGGGCATTGTGAGCAGGTGTGTTGTCATGGTGAGGCAACTCATCCTGACACAACTCTAGTCTCTTCCTTTCACTTGAACGAAGCAAACGCCACAGGATCTCTTTGTAGACGTGCTGGTTGATCGTCTGCAGGGGAAAACTGGTCGCTTGTAGTTTGGGTTTAAATTATATTTTTTGTGACACCAGTCCTGGAACTTTTCGGAACACCTCATATATCATGGATTCAACCAAACAATATGCAGCTCTTTTCAAAACAAACCTTAAGAAACACAAGACAAAGAGGCAGTCATGAGCTGCTGACTTTCGGTCACAATCGCCCTGAGTGACAGTTCTCCAGACCTTCTAAACGGGTGCCGTGTTAAACGGATCGGGCTGGTTCTGTGACACCCTGCAGATGTTCAGACACAGTTTAGGGACACCATTGCTACATATTGGGCTTAGCAAGGCCTGTATTTGGTTTAAAGAGACACAAACAAGGCAGAACACTTCATTCTACTATAGCAGAAAGATAGTGAGGTGTGGTCAGACCATTCTCCTGCACTGATGTCCACTACAGAGATAAGCACACTACACAGACTAACTGATAATTAAAATAACAGCCATAACTACAAACAGCACTTTTGCCATTACGGCTCAAAAACTACCATAGGAAAATAACACTTAAACATTTTAACAATGCTGTAAGTTGACACTGACACAAAAACATGGACTGCTTTCCAACATGGATGCACTTTGCTAATGTTCTCATTTCAGAGGAAATCTTATTCAGAATGTCAGTCACACTAAAATGAAGTACAAAGGGAGGCAATGGAACAACCCTGCAAGACGCCCAGACAAATACTCATTAAGCTGTTTAACGGCTGATGAGAAAGTAGCTGCGACACTAGTTTGAAGACGGAGCAAAGCAATTAAGAGAGAATTGTAATTATCACATGTATGTTGCCATGCATGCATCATGTGTGTGTGGGAAAGGGAGCGTACATGCATTTGTTCCCCGATTATTTCGTAGTTTCCCAGTCAAACACTTGTAAGGCACAATCTCACCGTCACCCTTTGGTGCTAACAAACTGTTTCCCGTTGGTGTCAGGTTTTTATTAACACAACGCGCGTCGACTGGAAATGTTCAGGTATGGCTGTTAAACGCTTGAGTCAAGAGCAGCAGAAAGCTGAACAATGAACAGAGCAAAAGAAAACGTTTGGAGCAGCGATGCCAAAAAAAAAAGAAAGAAAGGACAAAGTGTTTGGCTTGGAGACCGGGTGCGCGGGGTGTGATATTTTAAAAGTCAAAGAGTGAGCAAGTTCACAAGACGACGCCAATCTAATTCAAGCCATTATTCTGGTCCACACGTCACCATGCGCTGCTTGTTAAAGTGAGACTATAAAGAGTCTTTTTAAAGAAGGGTTCATCCATCACAAGGCCCTCTTTATGGAGGTCATAAGGCGCTGGCAGGAGAGTTTATGTGGAATAACTTGATTACTGTAACAACTAGGTCAGTAATAACATGGTTAACACGAATGTACCTCGAATCATAGCTCAATTTTACTTGTTAGAACATATAAGTGAAGTGTATATCTTACCTTAGACGGCCTTTTACCTGTGACACAAATATTATTTTTAGAGTTTCCTCATTTTGATTCAGTTTACTCTGTGACCTTAGTGGCACAGACTCAACACACATCAAAAGGAACAACACGACTTATTCTTGCTCCGATTGTGATCCTAATTTGGATCGGATAACCAGGTTACCTTGTTAAGTGGCAGCTGCATTATTTAGGATGTTATCTTCATCTTGTTAGGCACTGCTTTGACACGTTAGTGGCTCTTTGTCAGCCCTTTGAACTTTGTGGTGTCTTAAACAGATGACTGGTGTCCTCGGGGCGGAAATTCTTTTTTTGTAAACAGTCCTGCATCATGAATGGCGGGTTGGGAACTTTTAATCAATGAAAGACACTAAGAAAGAAGTTGTATCACGAGGAGCTAAAAATATTTTTTTTTTTTAGATATAAAGATGATTGAAACTTGGTTAAAACCTTCCGTGTCATGATAGGATATTATTTTAGATTTTTTCTTCATGCCTTACCATTTAATGACTAATTAATGATGCATAATGTTCACAAAATCATGCTCAATTCAAGCAGGGCTTTCAAGACGGATGATGCCCAAAGTGGGGGTCGGGACCCCTCCAGGGTCGCGAAATGTTTAATAGATTAATTGCAAAAGAGTTACGAAAGTTCGAAAAAAACAGTCTGCTGCTCCTGCATCCTGCATGTTTACTCAACCCTACAGTGTATACATGAACACTACTTTGACCACTAGACTCCAACCACCTCTGGGCGTAGTGGGGATAGTGGGTGCCATTATTTTGAGAGTGAAAGAAGAAAAGTTTGGGGAATGCTACTCGTGATTTGTAGATTTTTCTGTTGCTATTTTATATGGAAGTTAATCTTGTTTTTCTATTAGAAAGGACTTTGGTTCAATGTCTGTTGCTTTACAGGGCCTAAAAAAATAAAGTACACAATGCAATCTTACACTTATTTTCTTTCTAAACCTGCTCAAACTCTCAGATTTCACCGGGATCATGAGTGAACAAACCTTTTCAAGTCCATCCACAAATTCTCAGTTGGATTGAGGTCTGAGCTTTAACTCCATAACATTCACCTCGTTGTCTGTTAACCATTTCTGTGTTGCTTTGTCTGAATCTTTGGGGTAACTGTCTTGCTTCTCCCAAGTCACAACTCTCTTGCAGAGTACATCAGGTTGATATTTGGTATTTCCCAATACTTTGCTCCCTTTTATAAGCCTTCCAAGGCCTGCTGCTGAGAAGTATTCTCACATCATGATGCTGCCACCACCGTGCTTCATGCCAGTGATGGTGTTTGTGATGATGTGCAGTGTTTGGTGTTTGCAAAACAGAGCTTTTAATCTGATGACCAAAAAGCCCAATACAATCTTTTTTTTTTTTTTTTGGGAAATTCTTGTCAAAAACAGCCCAATTAATTTGACCAAGAAGCAACAAAAGGGAAAACTTCCAGGACGGGTGAGAACTTTTTTATAGGCACTGTAAATGTGCTACATAAATAACGGTGACTTGACATTAACGAAGACAATAATAATGATTACAACTATACCACAGCCTAATTTTTCATATTGATGTTAGCAGTATATTGTTCCTGAGAGACGTACATGAGTCTGTTGTCTGTTTACTTTCCATTATTGATATTTTATGGCCTACATGAACCACAGGTTGATTTTTTTTTTGTGTGTGTGTGTGCTTTAAGGACTGTAAACTCTAAACAGAATATTCGACTGGCACAACTTTAGCATGCAGCTAAGCAATTTGAGTTCACTGTTCACCAAAAAAAAGCTTCCATTACCCACTTGACAGAGTACAGGATAAAGAGCTCCTGATGTAGCAGAGGCAACAGCTTACACACACACACACACACACACACACACACTAAAACACACACACACACACTAAAACACACACACTAAAACACACACACAAGCACCTGTTTGTTCATGCATACTTATCCAATATGGCCAAATCACACAGCCGGTCAGTCTTGGTAATAAACTCTCCCTTTGGCCTCTCAATAACTTTAGTCACACACATAAAACACTCCAATCTGCTCAGACAAACCACACGGCTTTGCTTTGCTGCCATACACATAAATTGTGTGTATATATAGCCTATATTTATTCCAGCAAACACACCACAGCTACTATAAACGGAGAGTGCTACTGTAAATTACCACCACACTGATTGGGACAATTTTCGAATCTAAATTAAAAAAAGAAACAAGGAAATTGTCTTTGCTTTGTGCCCCTTGTAATCTTATTTTTGTTGTTTTCTGCTCCTCAGTGAGAACAGCTGAAGCATCAAAGGGAAACTGTACATGCAATGAGACCGATTTAGTTACCATTTTCCTCAACTTTCAGTTTAAATCGGTGATGCAAAAGGAAATATTCTCCTTCCTCAAGTCCTCTAAATGTAACTTACTCTGGTTTACAGTAAAAAATAATCATAATAATAGTTTAAAAAAAAAAAAAGAGTGAGAGGATGGTTCATGTCTTTCTCACTGCACACACCGACGAAATTATTTTCATCATGTGTCAGGAAAATTGCCTCTTCTCTCATTCATTTATATAACCACCTAATAGCTCCTGTCTTATTTAACAATGAGGTAAATGATGCAGAGCAGGAAGTGTCTAAATATGAACGTCTCACTCGCACTTACTGTGATATATCTGTTTTTGTCTCTTTTTCTTTTTTATTAACACCGTCTCTCGTACAACTTGGCAGCAATGATGTGCCATTTCAGTGCTTCTACCATCAGTAAATCTTAAATGTGATTTAAAAAAAAAAAAGATGTATTGTCTCCTGGATGGAAGAGAGTCATTGTGAGAGATACTGTGCAAATGGAAAATCCCAGCGTTGTCTTTTAAGCTCTTTGGCCAGCAGCAAAAACACTGGGATGTGGTTTTTGTTTTAATGGATCCGTGATAAAATATCTCAGCAGATGCCCCAAAAAAACTTTCATGACTGTCTGAATTCCCAGACAGTAATGCCCTCATAAAGCTCTGGACGTCACATGCAAGCACACACGGAGGCAAACGGGGGGAAAAAGAAGGAAGGAAGTGAACCGGAACCTACTGCAGATGAAGAAGTAGGAGGCTGTGCCGGTGAGGAGGACGGGGCTCCGGGCCAAAGAGCTGACCAGTCCGCAGATGCCGCCAAACAGCAACAGAACCAGGCTGAGGGGAAGCAGCACCACGATTGCACTGTGCATGTCTGGGTATAAACAGATGGATTATGGAGCATCAGCGGGGCGATGACCGTCTCACCAATGAAACTTCATTAGCCGAGCATGCGATAAGTGCAGGGTTTCATCAGAGCTTTAGGAGGAGAGACTCACTCAGCATGCGCAGCTCCGTCGCAGAGTATCTGGAGTAGTTCACGGTGAAGGAGTCAATAGAGTCTGAGTACATCTTCCCACCTGGGTGTTGGAATAGAAAGGAGATAAAAATCAGCTTCAGGCTTTGTTTATGTGTGTCCCTGGTATACAAAAGAAAAATAAAATTCATCATTTTTGTCACAATAAGCAAGAAATCTAACGGTATGTAGAACTAATAAGATCTTTTGACATTCAACCCGTCTAAATGTTTGCTTTGAAAACATTAAAAGCCTTTATTAGAGCCAGAAACTGTAACCAATCGACATAGTTGCAATTTTCCAACTGTTCTTCAACTACAAATGTGTTAAATGCCACATCACTGGAAAACATTTAAGCTCGTTGACATGTTTTATTTTAATCACATTATTCTGCATGCCATCAAAAAAATACATTCTTCTCTCTAACCAGATTCTATTAAAAAAAATTCTGCGCTCTTTGCCACAATGTGACTCAGCTGGGACCAACAATCACATGACAAAATGACAAAACATCTATGGCATGGAGAGTCGCCATTTTTTTGAGCGTTGGTAACACTTTGAAAAATGTTGTACATGTTGATTACAAGGTTGTTCTTTTTTGCCACTTTTTCTGAAATAAATAATAGAAGAAATGTAACTTCTTTCCCTTTTTAAAAAAAATTCTTTAAAACATGAATAATGTGTCACGCTACACAGAAGACATTTTTGAGTTCTCTCTACTTCTAGTCATGGTTGTGCTGTTTCCATAAAGGTGCAGGATTTTATATTGCAGAGAACTAAATTGAATTAAACTAAATCAAGATACAGTGAAGCTAGCCACATTTTGATTTACAGTGAATTTTTATCTTTCTAATAGCGTTCTTCTGGCTGGAAATTACATGAACAAGTGACAAAAGACAAGAAAACATCCTCCTAAAGTTTGTTAATGGTGCATTTTAACCAGTTTGTTTGTTCTCCGCTTCTACTGTCCAAAATTAGAATCAGTAATCAAAGACTTTATTTGCCGCCACAACACTCATGGTTCTTGTAATTGCTGACAGTCTTTCTGCATGTGTCCACTGGGATTTTGGACCACTTCTTATTTGTGGTGATCTGCAGGTCTTTAGGGCTGAAGGCTTCCTCGCCATCACTCTGCTCGTCTTCTTCTTCCTCCAGGGATTTTTCATGTCCATGTCCATGTTGTTTTCTATTAGGCTTTTCTTGGCCACTTTGGCTGCATGCTCTCGAGGATCTTAATGTAATCCTCTTTTCTCATGATGCCCATGACTTAGAGAAGCTTGTCGGGCCCATCAACTGAAAAACATCTTCAGAGCATCACATTCCCACCACCGTGATTGATGGTGTCCTCGGGGCTGAATGCGTCTTCAGATAAAAGCCCCCCTCCCTGTGTCCACATAACTCTATTTTCATCTCATCCAACCACTTTGTCCAGGTGAGCTTTTGTGTGTCTGTCTCGGAGAAGTGGAGTCCTCTTTGGTCCATATCCATGGAGACCGGCCCCTTGCAGCATCTGCTGAAGTGTCTGCTTCGAGATGTTGTTTCCAGAATTGCTCGGAATCACCAGGACGGTTTTGGCTCTAATTGTTGGATTCGTTTTGGTGCAGGAGTCACTTTTGTCTGCGTACTAGCTCTATGAGATTCCCCACAGTGTAGAACTCCTTGTACTTTTCTATTATGTTTTGCACTGTGGCCACTAGTACTTGAAAACACTTGGACAAGGGTCGATAACTCTCTCACAGTGAAAGAGCCTAATAGCAAGCTCAGTAAGATCTCTGGTTTTAGCCATGAATGGCTCTTTGCCATCTAGAATG